ATATATATATATATATATATATATATATATATATATATATATATAATGTTTCTACGAATTAACTTTAAAACTTTAAATGCTTTTTTTCATAGCAGTAACAAATGAACGTGATGGGGTAAAAACAATACCCAACTAACTATATTCCTTAACAACTGAATCAAGTATCATAACATTTGTTTTATTTATATTGACAGTTAATTTCAAATTGTCAGAATAATTAGCAAACGTATCGAGAGATTTTTTTTCAATCCATTACCTGATTTCATTGCCTGCAATATTGTTCGTTTCTGTCCTGGCTCATTGCTTATTGTTTTACGATTTTGCAAATTCCAATTGTATTGGTTTTACCGTATTGGCCTATTTATTGTATTTGTTTAGATTTTTTTTAATATATTTTAATTTAAAACATTTATTATTCAGATTCTGTGCAATTTAGGTAAGCTTTTGCCCTGTTGACTTTTTTTTTTTTTTTTTTTTTTTAATTATTTTTAACTTTTAACTATTTTAAGGTATTTGAATTAAGCGAACTACTTACCAATGGACTCATAACTGTAGAACCTGTATGAGATTCAAATGAGCTCCGGTTTTATCAAGGATTTTAACATTATTTTATTATCTAATGTATCGTTTTCAATGATGAAATGAATAAAGATTAAATTGAAGTTAGAAGGGATAACAAGGTCATCCTTATATAATAGACAAAATAATCGCTCGTTTCTGATGAGAACTTGATTAGGTGAGTTTGCTAAAGAAGAAGTTAATTCAAAAAGAAACAGACTGTAAAAGTAAAGGGCTAAGATTTTACAACCCCGTTTCACTCCGAATGACGATTTATATTGATTTGTAATTTACCACATTATCTGCAAAAGAGAAACATTAAATTACCAAATAGATGAGCCGTACGTCTAGTCTAATAAATTATAATAAGTAGAACACTGGACATAAAGTACTTAAAAGACTAGTTTTAATGACAATTCACTCTATAGCTTTTGTGAACACAGTGCACTTCTTCAGGTGAATGTTATTTCGGTGAAAAAATTATAAAGTTTGTCACCGAAACGGATCACTTTCGACTGGAAGTTTGACACCGTATCAAACCAAGGCAATTCAAATCGATGGAACGCAGCGGAAAAAAGATCTACGTTACAGACGCAGATGTATGATTTATTACTAAATCTGTCAATAATGGATTTATATAGAAAATATACAGATCAAGTAATGTGATTTTTAGTTTGCTTTTTAAACAATGGTCAATTCATAGAATTCAAGAGTGTTTATTGTAAGACTTTATTAAATCTCAATTTTACATTGCTTTTATATATTTGTTAAGCAATTAACTTAGGTTTTGTAAAGTTGCATTTTTAATTTCTATTGTTTTCCTTTCATCGTTATTGGTAAGTTCTTAGAATTTTATTTATACCATACAATTTTATATTATAATGACAATATGTAATAATAATAATAATAATAATTATTATTATTATTATTATTATTATTATTATTAAAATATGGTCAATTCATAGAATTCTAGAGTGCTTGTTGTTGCTAATGTCTGTGACACGCTGGTTAATGGAATGAGAGTCGCCTTTGAAGGTTAGACCTATCATTATTGTTCTCTTATAGATTAGATTGATTGGCTACCAGAAACCTTGTTTATAACGTTTATATACGTGTTGAATGTAAATTAGATGCTAAATGTAATGGCCATCTTACTAATGAAGCATATAAACTTAATTTGCTTGGATTTCCGAAGAGACGAGAAACTTACACGTGTTTTACATTGCCCTTTTTTTTTTTCTTTTTTTCTTTTTTCTTTTTTTTTTTGTTTTTTTTTTTAATTTTTTTTTTTTTTTTTTTATAGTTATAGTTATAAAGAGCTTACTACATACATTAATCACAGCAGGTTTGTTTTTGCAAGCAATGTCATTGAAAGTAGTACAGTAGTGCAACTGGACTAGCTATGCCTCACTCAAGGATATAATTGACAGTTTAATGGGTCTTGATACACTAATTGGCAAACACCCGACTAGTCGGGTTAAAATGTGCTCCATTTACTAAGGGCCCTGTCCACATCATGCATTATTGTATTTTCTTCTCATTTGATTAGTCATCACATTAGGCTTCAAAAAGACATTTTCCAAAGACTGGACCAACAAAACAGTTTCTCAAAGATACTTATTATTTCTATTTTTGGTCATAATGGTCAAGAATATACAATAGATCTTTCGGTGCGGCAATCATTCCACACACTCTACTTAAAGTTATTAGTGATAAGGAAGTGGAGTTGTTTTTATTTTTTGGTCATGGAAATAATAAATGAACATAAAGCCCTGTCTACACTATCAAATTTAACGTGACAAATAAATATTATGTGCCCAAATTTGGGTGTAATGTGACATCGTCAGGCCCGATAATGGCATATAACACAAATTAGCCACGTACAGTTTGATATTGGAACTTTCGATTTGTGCGACGACGCGACGCTAGAACGGGATCACAACCGTCCTATTATACTTGGCGTCCTATGTTTCTCTGCATACGTAGATTTGGCCAAATTGCGTTCGATGAGGTGACCTAACGTTCTCGCATGCGCGGATGACTTTTACTGACGTAATTACGTTCTACGTCCTACCGTCGTCGTGCAATCGAAAACGCCCTAATGTGGACAGAAATTAAGACTGGGAGACTAAAACGTACGGTACACAAACGTTTAAATTCATCTGTAAACATTATGTTTCGAGTTGGCAAAAGAATCCGTAAATTTCGAACATATGGAAATCAATGTGCACAAGCAGAAGAAACCGTAGTCTAAGCCTTGATTATTAGGCTGTAATTAATCCACTCATCTATACGTCAAATTTGACATCGGATTTTATCCACAAGCTACAGGTCCACTAAATAAGGTGACATAAAGGCCAACTCAGACAGCGTCGTACGACGCAGCCCGACGCAATTTGTTGTTGCGTCGGGTCTGTGTGTTGGTGTTCGTCGGGGGCAGGCGTTTAAACATGTTTAATATTTCTCACGACGGCTCAAGACTGTCCCCGACGATAAATCGGGTCGGGCTGCGTAGGCCGACGCTTTCTGAGTTGGCCTTAAGAGCACTGGAACGTTTAGTTAGCGAGGATATAGATTCAGAAATGTTGACTTAGTTCCCTTTCAAAATCGAATTCTGAATTACTGTTACAAATTGTTTTAAAGCAAACAAATAACAATCCGAAGAAAAAAAATTGAAGAAAAAAACGATGTTGAAGAACCGTTGTGAATCTTGTTGTTCTTGTTATGCAATTATGAGCTGAATTCCAATAACAATACCATGCTTATAATCGAAGCCTATCCTAATTTGTAAGCTGTAATTGACGACTTTAAAGTTGCCATGGCAAAGTGGTGAGTATTATCAGGCATCGTATGACGTAATCCGTGGCATCATTTTATAAAGAAACGGGGTTTGATGAATGTTCATTGGTTTGTGATATCGTCTGCTCTCACAGTACACGGAGACGTTAAGTACACTTGAGAATGAGATGATCCGCATCGTTGGCACAGTCTTCAATTAAGGTAGGTGTGAGAGCTACTATTATTCTGTCCTATCTATTTTTACAGAGTTATTTTTGCATACATTAATATTATTATTATTATTATTATTATTATTATTATTATTATCATCTTCATCATCATCAACATTGATTTGATGTTGATGCCACAGTTTAAACGTGATTATAGCGCACCTCAGCAAACAAGTGTTTAAATCATTATAACATTTACGAACACTCTGAGCATTCACGATATTATTTAGTGGAATTACGTTATAAATTATGGTTCAACTTTCTGAATACCAAATTGCAACGTTATTATATCGTAAATTTTGTTAATTTGATTAGGTTATGTCAGAATATAACGTTAACAGCAGCATTTACGACGTTATCTAGTCGAAATTACGTTATAACGTGTTTATGGTTCACTTTTTCAATATCAAACTGATTGCTAAATGAGACCATGTATATTCAGCTCCGTATATGGAGGAGTGGAACAGATATTAGGATTAAGATGCTTGCCTCTAAGTCCTGGGTTCAAATTAGGTCTTAAATAAGATTTTTTACTCGTGATTTAAAAAGATTAAATTAATCATGTGTTTGTGATAATATTGAATTTGATATTTTTCATTGTATTTTTTCTTAATTTAAGTCTATTACATTCGAGTCTTTTAAATAATCTTTATTTTAATAATTTTGGATTTTTACTTATATTGTGTAAGTTTTTTTTCACTTTATATTTTATATTTCCATCCTGAAATTGGTGTTTACACTGTTGGATGTCCAATAACTAAATAAATAAATAAATAAGAATAACTGCATTCACATAGGCTGGCAATAAAACTTAGAAACACTAGATGTGTATAAGAGACAGGTCTACACTATCAAATTTAACGTGAAACAAGTCGACGGCATCACAATTGATAACAAAGCCGCTGAGATATGCAACTCCTTTAACCATTTCTCGTAATATTTGCTCCAGTCTTCCTCAAAATGGAGGTATACTCAAACCATCCCAATGCCACTACTTCCTTCCATGGTTTCTTAGGAACGCCGAATTCCAAATGTCATTTTCACCAAATATCATCGCCAAAAGTTAGTCAGGTTTTCAAAAAAGGAAACCTCCCACAACCCCCGTTGTAGGCAATTACCGTCCAGTTTCTCTTTCACCTTCATTTTCCAAAAATCCTTGAGAAGCTAATGCATCTAAGAATCTTAAGTTTTAATACCTGTGATTTATTCTCTGAATCCCAATCTGGATTCAGAGAGAAATAGTCTTTCCCATACTCTCTTAAACTCGTTGATTCTGTTACTGCTGCATTTGACAAATGAACGACATCACACTATTGGATTATTCTTGGACTGCTCCAAGGCTTTTGTTTCAATCGACTGTGCAATTCTCTTCTCGAAGCTCAGTCATTGGATAAGAGGAAAAGCCTTGGAGTGCCGGGTTCATATGTTATCTCTGTTTCAGAAAACAATTTGTTTTAATCAATAATTCATTTTTCACTTCATTTCATTTATTTTGCCGAAAACAATTACAATATAAAAAGATAAAGCAGCCGGAAAGACTATATAAAAAAAAAATCATCGGGACTCTATGATATTCATTTTGGTATCCCTCAAGGATCTTTACTTGGACCGGTACTTTTCAGTCTCTTCATAAATATTTTTTGCAGTTCTTTTAAGCGCCTCACTTTTATTTTATTTGCTGACGACTCCAACCTGTTTTTCTCTCACCGCAATGTTACTACCGTCCTTAACACAACAACGAACTCATTACAGTCACAAAGTGCATATCGTTTCACGTTAAACTTAGCCAAAATCCATTTTTATGCTTTTTAGTAGATCAAATTGTTCATTGCCTTGTGATGTTATTTTCAATGTTCTATAATTAGCCGTGTGGCGACAACAAATACCTGGGGGGTTACCGCCGACCAAAATCTCACTGCTAGCGGGATCATAAATTTAACATTTCCAAAACCATCTACGTAGACATTATCACCAAACTCCGCTCCATGTTCCCAAGTCCAATTGCCTGGGGCAACGCAGACAAGATTCATCTGAACAAAATCCGCCTCATTCAAAAAAGGGCAATCGGTTCTATTTTTGGAGTTGGATGGCGCGACCACATTTTTTTGTTGATATTTTTGTTAACCTTGGGCTATTTGATATTTATGATTTATTTAAGTTTAATATTTGTTGTTTTATGTTCTTCGTCAACACCTGCTCCGTCCCCAAACTCCCTAATGAAAGAGTTCTCCAAGAACCACCAAATTTATTATACTTATCATACCAGACAATCTTCACAATTCCATCACACTCGCCCTCGAACAGTCACATGGGCAAACTCAATCTTTGCCCTTGGTGCTATTGCATGAAATAAGCTATACCCCACCTTCCATAACACAATCAGCATTTTCACGTTTAAAAAATCTCAGAAAATTCATTCCTATCAAGATAACACATTTATTTGCACATATTTTGCACAGTATTTTAGCAATGCGTACTTATTATTTACAAGCTGGATTCCTGTAAGTAGGCCTAACGCTATTTGCGTAGATTTTCAACATCTCTATTATTGACTGCAAATGAAATTTTGAGCCACTTTATACACATTATCAAAATTGCTGATGGGATGTAAACTGGCTTACTGTGTATCTAAAAGCAAGTTGTAATTATAATTTTAGCTGTATCGAGGATAAATAATTTTCAATAATTAGGGCAGTCACAGCAAAGGATGACACACCTACAATTATCACATTAAATATGGTTGAATATTGTACTCATCTTCTTCGGCTAACCATCATGAATTATCCATCCGCTTTGGCTGTGAGGCACTGCCTATAGTTCAGTTAAACAATGCATGGCCTACATATTGAATTTGGGTCGAATTAAGCAACAGTTACTCTGATGTTATTCTTGCAGAATCAAAAGAAATCTCCATTTCTAAATCAAAATGTGGATAAAAAGCATACAATACACATTTGTAATGGTGACAATTTTGTTGAGAATTTCGGATAGCGTCGGACAAACTTTGACGTCAGAAATGTATACATTTTCTACCATTTTAAATATCATTGAGGAGGACAGCACTCAATTCACAACATACAGGCCTGCGTACGATAAGACAAGTGAGGGAGCAGCTACAGCAACAGCTCAATATGAAGATAATAACGATGGTGATGTCATCGATTTGAACCTAATGGGGTTCTTCCCGGTGACTGGAGAGAGCTTTTCTCGTGGAAAGAGTTACTATATTGCTGCAGATATGGCGTTACGCGACGTCAACGCAAGAACGGATGTATTAGGTGGATACAGACTTCAGCTCAACTGGCGAAATACACAGGTAAACAATTCATATTAAATTATGCTGATATAATTTTAATTGTGTACATTTTAAATGCATAAATTAACAACACAAATGTTACTTAAATTAGATGTAAAACGTTTATTTATAAAAATCCACATGCTCAATATTTAATTCAGCAAACACATTTTTCGTAAGAATGAAGAAAGATTTATACTATACACTTTATAATTATTCTTTAGGGGCAGCCGTATGGTCCCATTCTATAAAATGTTTAGCTAATAATTATAACGACGTCAATGGGTGGCTGCCCGATTACATATTTTGAGTTAACTAGGTATTACATTGTTTTCCGTCATTGAATAAAAATTACAATTTCCATCCAATTCGGTGTTGGTTTATTTTTCTCGTCCTGTACACGCCTCATGAGGAAAGATGAATCACATGTCGCGGGAGCGGTAGGCCTATTGTTTAACGAATTATTAATTCATTATGGCCGAAAGCATTATTGTGGTACATTATTATTCCTTCGTAGACGGTAAAGAATAGCTAGTACAATAATAGGCTTGTTTTGTAATAATTCTTGATTTACTATCGATTTGTTGATACTAATAAAAATAACGAGAAATATAACGGTTCGGTTGACGATGTTGATGACGATAGGTATAAGAATGATGAGGATAAGGATAGCGTCAACGACGACGAAGATGATATTGATGCTAATGATCGATAATTATGATGATGATGCCGATTATGATGATGATGATGATAATGATGATAAAGATGATAATTCCCATGATTCTGATGAAGACTTGAAGGAATAATGAATAGCAAACGTACAATATGTTTGCCTTATCATATTCTGATCTTAATTATTTATTTGTTCGCCAATTTGTAGTGTAATGCTGGCATTGGTACCAAATCACTTTTCACATTTATCAACTCCAGTACAACCTACATTATGGTACTTGGTACCGGTTGCTCCGTGGTTGCTGAACCAGTATCTATGGCAGCCGATTTGTGGAACCTTTTACAGGTAAGTACGTTTTAAACTACTAGAAATTAAGACTTAGCAACTTTGTGAAAACGACAACGAAAAGGAAAACGTGATTATCATTTGTCATTTGTGCCTAAAATATTCTTGACAATAATACTTCACGAGCTGAATATAATCCTTGATTCATGCAAAAAAACGGCATGAACCACCTACGTTGTAACAGATATGCTATTATAGGGGAAGAGTTGTCTAAACATTTGATGCCACGTAACGGTATTCGTATGTGTTTTCGTAAACTCATAGCTACTACTACTATCTACTACTACTTGTTTTACATGTAAGGTGATATTATCATCATCATCATCGTTATTATCATCATCATCATCATCATCATCGTTATTATCATCATCATCATTTAATCACCATCATCATCATCATCATCATCGTTATTATCATCGTCATCATCATCATTAAATCACCATCATCATCATCGTTTATTATTATAATAAATGATGATGGTGATTTAATGATGATGATGATAATAACGATGATGGTGATGATGATGATGATGATGATGATGGTGATGATGATGATGATAATATCACCTTCATGTAAAACAAGTAAGGTGATATTATCATCACCATCATCATCATCATCATCATCGTTATTATCATCATCATTAAATCACCATCATCATCATCGTTTATTATTGAAAAGTGAGAAGTGTGAGAGAAGATTATAAATACACGTATGTTTTATTATGAATAAGTGATGTATAGAAAACACTCTGGTTTCATGGATAAAATAGATAGCATGCATATCTTCAAAAGGTATCCTATGGGGCATCAAACCCAGCACTGAGTAACCGCAAAAAGTACAAGTCCTTCTTCCGAACCTGCGCTTCAGACACCATCTTCAACTACGCACGACTGGCCATGATCAGATTATTTGGGTGGAAAAAGGTTGCAACGCTCCACGAGAATCAAGAATTGTTTTCAACAGTACGTAAAATAATGCATGCTTATTTTTCTCTTAATGGGAGAACTTGAGGACATCTCTCTCACTTTGAAAATGGCGACGCGTGTAACCGGTGATGGAGTAAAACACCATGAATCATCTACGTGGACGTTACGCCATTAGTCTTGATCAATTTTAACTCTTGTATAATCGAAGTTTATTTATAGGCCTATTCATGTCAATTATACATGTTTCCCTCTCTCTCTCTATCTCCCCCTCTAACTCTCTTTTTCATTTATTATTTTAGTCAATCAATCGATTTGGATCGCTATTATCTGAAGCAAATATTACACTAATTACATCTGAGAGCTTTGCAATTGATCCTGCCGAGCAGATACGTAATCTCAAGGTTGGTTTCTGTATTCATTACGTTTGTAATTGTGCTTTCTAGTAAATATTCCATCCATTGGAAAGCAGATTATGAAGTAATCAAGAGAATGTCATTAAGTGGATGACTCAGTGACGTATGATGTGATAATTTACTCGCGCGCGTGGCACACAGTCCATTTCACCTGATGCATGCTTCAAATAATAACTAGCTCCACTCACTGTAGGCCTATTTGCAGCCAATGGGAGCGTTCAGTAGGGCCATGTTTACATTTCACATTTTTTTTTAAACAATGGCAGTAATCAACTGGTTCGTTTCGTTGACAACGATATTTCGTTTAGTATTATTTATTTTTCGACTGGTTCGTAAAATAGACTTCGTTGACAAAAGTCAACATAAACCAGAGTGCGTTAATTTCGTTAATTTACCAATAAGTTATCCACGTGACCAAAACAAACGATGCCGATTGATCAGTTTAGCAACAACGTTTGCTATTAATAGGCCTATAATTTAGATTAAAATTAATAAAACTAATAATTAAAATAAATTAATTTAATTTTAATTTAATTAAAATAATAATTTCAATATTTACCCACATAATGTCAAAAAATAATTATAGGCTAACAAAATTCAAAAACTGCATGAAAACATTTTTTTTTAACGAAAAACATATCGGCCCAAGCAACATTACATTTAGCGTGTCACGGTATACGTAGCTATTTTGTTTTGCCGAGTACCGTATTTACCAGTTTTCTATTCGTCTGATCATCTTTGTTAAGATAGGACTTTACCACTGCACAGGTAGGAACGAAGAACGACCTTATGGCCATACGACCTCTCGAATACGGCCAAAAGGTACATTCACATTAGAAATCCCAACATTTCAAGGTAATACAGTAATGATATTTCTGAGCAACAAAACATTATAAGATCATTATTTTCTACCTATATTATAATGATATTCATTATAGGAAACGGAAGCGTGGATTATTTTTGGAAATTTCTATGAAAACATGGCAAGAAGGGTATTCTGTGAGGTAAGTTGCTTTCCTTCGTATATCTGACTGGATTTTTATGAAGTTTTAGCTTATTGTAACTTAGCAATAAAACATTGTAAACGTCTGAACAGAACTAAATGCAATATTGTCACGGTAACAAGACAATGTATATCAATTTTATCAATACTTACTCACATCAAAGTGTTTGTACCGTATTTTACATGTCATCGCATCACGTACATCAGCATTTAAGACTACCTATGCCATTTTTATGTCGTAACTAGGTTCACATTCCAAAGCTTATTAAATAAATAAGTAGAATAGCCTATAGTTTGCGAGTATAATATTTATACTGTCACTGGGTATAGCAAATAATATTATTATAAAACATGTACATCAGCATTTAATAGATTACCTAAGCCATTTTAATGTCGTAACAGTTCAGTTTCTCCATAGCTTCTTCTAAATAAGCTGTATTCAATTCAACAATCATAAAGAGCCTTGCGAGTATAATTTACTATCTATATCAGGGTGAGCAAATATTATTATAAATAGGGCCTATAACTGTTATATAATGTTACAAAACGTCTATATATTTTTTCTTTTTTCAATGACCATTGTTATTAGGTGTACAAAGAAGGTCTTTATGGAAGAAACTACGCTTGGTTTTTGCTGGGGTGGTACAAGCCACGTTGGTGGGAGGAACCAGACGACTCCATAAGTTGTACACCTGAGCAGCTATTCAAGGCGGTCGAGGGCTACTTTTCAACCGAAGATCTGCCACTGAGTGTGCATCCAGAAGATGTTACAGTTTCTGGACTTGTAAGGGTGTTTGCTTTTGTTCATTCATTATACAGTCTCCCCTACAATTCGAGACCTGGTACTGGTATGGGCATTTATAATGCGCCTTTTTCCTTTGCGGTTTTAAAGCGTAAGTCTCATAGTTCAGGGGAAAAAACAGGCAGCATGTCCTACCTACAGCCTTAAAACACGAAATCACGAACACGTCAACTATATTGTCAAACAATTAACAACAAAAGCACAACACAAAACGTACAACAGACCCAACACTCAGAAAAGTAATAATTGGAGGTACTAGGCGAACAAGTGTGACAACCCTTTGGAACACGAACATTTAAATGTCTCTAGTAAGAGGGTTTCTGTGTGTTAAAAGATTGAAGATTGCTATTTGGTTTTTTATTAAAAGGTGTCTTGGAATTAGAGGCGTCTTGAATTGGAGGGTACATGTCTACATGTGGAATATACGTTTCATATATGACATTGTGATGTTTTTGTATTATATTTATTATAAGTTGGTAAATTGAATATATGCATGTGATGTTTTTGTTTCGTGGATCCTGCATGTTTTTGAATGCCCTCTATACTATATGATAGTTTCATGACACCTTACGTAACATGTCAAATTGAGTCATATTTTCACTGAATATGTACCGGTACTCGCGGCTAGATTGTATGTATTAAATCTCTTCACTTATCTCTTTATTGCTAAGACCTTCTCTCACAGAGAGATCTGATATACAATTGAAAATATGACCATCCCGACTAACAATGTTACGTTATAAGAATAATTTTACATTTTGATGCTGAAAACGTTACTTTTAGAACCATTATGTATGTATTTATAACATAATTTCACAACTCCGTAATCTTAATTCCTACAACGTTGTGTGAACGTTATTTTGTAACATACCAAACCACGGTATAAGAACGTTTTGTGTTTGCTGGGATGTAGCTCCTATCGTTCATGTTCAGTTTATTAGGCCAAATATTTGTCTCTTATACACATCTAGATGTGTATAAGAGACAGGTTGCTTTCCTTCGTATATCTGACTGGATTTTTATGAAGTTTTAGCTTATTGTAACTTAGCAATAAAACATATATATATATATATATGTATATATATATATATATATATATATATATATATAGGCCTATACAATATGTTTCCACTGAACTCAAACATGACTGCTCTCTGTATCAATTTAATTATTAACACGTTTTAAAATATATTTCAGCAACAATTGTGTTTGTCATAAAGCAATAGACCATGTGACTGTTGTATTTTTTTATATTTGACAATAAAGTGTTCATGAAGTTTTACTTTCAAACCCTTTTTCTAGACACCTAACGAATACCAAGCATCGTACTTAAACTACTCGGCAAGGGAAGGCTCTGACGATATCAATAATCTTGCTTCGTATGCATATGACGCTGTTTGGAGCATCGCCCTCGCTCTTAATAAAAGTATCCAACTTTTGGAAAAAGGTAAATCGCAATTCTAATAAAGACTGGCTTCCATAAAAAATCGTACATGCTATCATGTACTCCACTGCGACGCTGATAATTTCGGAGTAATGACGTACAAAATGTATCTCTTGTGTAGATCTTGTATTAAATAAAACCAAGCGTTCAGATAAAACAGAACAAATGTATATTTGTTAATATTCATTTTTGTCAATTCTTATTCAACATATAGATGCAAATAATACAACGCCTCAAAAACTGAGTGAATTTACATACGGAAACGCCAAGATGCGTAACGTGTTCATGAAAGCAATGGAAACTATTGAGTTTAAGGGCATCTCGGTCTGTATTTCTATTACATCAATATTTTAATAAAATTAGTATATGGTTTTTGATCAATAATCGATCAAACTAGGCCTATTTATTATTTTTTTATCAACAAATCAATCAATCAATTAATTAATTAATCAATTATGTATGACTATGTTGACTTTTCCTGTTAAATAAGGCCTAATGTTTCAACAGGGCCCTGTTAGTTTCACGAAAACCGGTGATCGGGAAGGTCTTATTGGACTTCGGCAGATGCAAGGTAACAAATTATCTGTTATTATTATTATTGTTATTATTGTTATTGATATTATTATTATTATTATTATTATTATTATTATTATTATTATTATTAGGCCTATTATTTCTATTTAGACCTATTATTAGACCTATTATTATTATCATTATCATTATTATCATTATTATTATTATTATTATTATTATTATTATTAATATTATTATTTGTTTCTATATTCATAATCATCAACAGGAGGAGAGGATGTTAGCATTGGGAGATATGAGCCGCAGACCGATACACTGACACTGGATGGCTACGCCCCTATCATTTGGCAAGGTTGAGTTCTTTGACCTTATTTGCTGTTGAACAGTCTATGTTGACTCATCTAATATATACATATAGTTTATTTGCCTGGTAACTGAAGAAATTAATAACAATATTTGAATTTACTATTTTGGTGTAACTAATTTTGGTTTAAAATTTCAAGGAAACAATGTGTTTTATTCTTTAATTAACAGACTTTAAGCATACCAATTGTATACGATTTGAACGGTGTTCTTAGTCTTCAATTTTACCACACACTATCTTTAAATTAACAGTCAATAGGTTCGTGGTTTAGACTGTCCTGCGTCCAAACTTCTGTGTTTGTTGAATATAATCAATTTGAATCTGGCACAATCCATTCGTGAATCTCCATCTGTGGAGATTTTTAAACTGAGACTTAAACGTCACATTTTCAGTTCCGTTTATTATTTTCTGTATGTCTTTTACTTTTCTGTTTTTTTCTCTCTCTCTCTCTCTCTCTTTTTTTTCTGTTACCTGCCATTCGTATACCGTTTTCTCAATTTGTTTCCTTTTTCCGGGCACTCCCTCAAATTGGCCCATTGATACTTTGGATTGGATTGAATACGCGTATTTTCATATCTGGACTACGAATGTGTGTCCGTCACTAGAATTAAGTACTTATTTTTAATATATGTAAGTATTCCAATTTCCTCTTTCATTAGATTTCAAGGATCTAATCCGGCTTAAAAAAAATGGTTGTCTTAAATTTCATTGGGGAGTTTTCTGTGAATATAATCAGTTAGGATAAGATCTTATCAACTTTAATTATTATTTCGCTCATACTTAAACCATTAATTCTTGCTATTTCATAATATAGGCGGCAGTCCACCCAAAGACAGCATTCTAAATAAATATTCTTCGAAGCATATTTCCTCCACCTACTTCTACATCTTCACTATTTTATCAAGTTTTGGCGTCGTACTTGTCACCATCTGCGCTATGTTTCTCATCTGGTATTGGAAACGCGAGTAAGTGAATCATTTGTCATCAAGAATGGGCGCCCACCATGGCAGCAAATAAGTTCCACGAAGTGGGTTAAAATATTTAAACAAAAACATTACGTTTTCATTTGAAGGGAATTAGTTCCGCATTCTGGGATTTAGTTCCGTATTGTCATCTTTCGCACCCCAGACCAAACCAGCCTAAGCCCATTTCAAGCCATTTTAATATATGATAATGACGGTACCAATAACAAGGTATTTTTTTTTCATTTATAGTCTCATCCAGAAGTGCACGCCAGTGTTCCATCTGGTGTTCTTGGTTGGATGTACTCTGCTCTATCTCGCAATCATCATGTTCAGTCTCGACGGTGGACGTATTGCTATCGACTCTCTTGCAACATGGTGCACTGTAAGTTGTACAACTTCATATATATATATTAAATGTCACTCTACAATTCAAAACCTCTCTAATTCGAGAACACTTTTATTCAAAGTACCAACTAACGACCTATCTTTTAACACTGAGCTCACCATCTAATATGGTGAGACCCTTCTAATTCGAGACCAAGACCAACTTTATTGAAGTGACAAAATACCAATTGAAGAACACATTTGGAAATAAAATTTAACATTAACCGATATATTTTCATAAGTTCATCCATTATAACCTTAGATTTCTAAAGTGTATTTTCTTTTTATCTTTTGTGCGTTTTTTTTTTTTTTTTTTTAAAAGCTAGTTTTTGAAAAGAAAATGAATGTGAATAATGATAATCATAGCCGTCGGAAGAATTTTGTAAGCGCTAAGGGGGGGGGGGGAACTAAACAAATTTGGTTTTTAAATTGACCCGCTACCACTAACCACGGATACAGGATTCTAAAGTTAGTGGAGTCTGAGAGCATATCCATCCCAACCCCCACCATGGTTGGTGACATAGTTACCAACCTGAGAAATTTGGTATGCGTGACTACACCAGTTGGCTGGGAGGAGAGGGGGTTCAGGGGCGGAGTCCCGGTGGAGGTCGGGTTTGGGTCACATACGGTAATCAACGGTTGGTTGTGACCGCATGGACCTCATTTTACTAAGTGCGTGGTTGGCTGAGTTATTTTGGTAGAAAAAGAAATTTTCTCGGTGAATTGATTCTCGAACGAGATAACGAAAGCTCTCTAATGACTCAAGTTACTGCATGACCGTTTTTATATTTTTAATAAAACCAGTTTCTTTCCATTTTAAATACATTTTCCCATGAATTCGTAATAATTCGTTATCACACACAAACTTGTGCTAAATGCGTGACAAATGTATGATCACGCATGTGTTTCCGCAAAATACGTGTTTCACCCAAGATATTGAAATGCGGAACCGTCCCGAACGATGCGAGACACGTGGTAACTATGACGGTGAACAACATCTGAATGTCCGAAAATAGGTGATGACAACCTATAGAGCCGCTACCCCTTCCCATCAAATGCAATCACAAGATTTAAAGTTAGCATGGAGGTCTATTGTATTTGGAAATATGACATCTGGATACCCGAAAATAGCAGCTGGCAAACCTGTAGATCCTCAGCCCTCCCTATCCTGATCTACATTGAAAGAAACGAGATTTTAGTGGGGACTAGAGTTCATACCCTGCTCAGCCCCACCGTGGACCAATACACACAAATGTAGGTCTCTTTCAAAAATGATAAACTGTTGAAAATTTAATTTCTACCAGTCAGTGCCATAAATAGACGAATAAATTAAGTTGCTTATTCCTGCAAGAGTAAGAAACACGAATACATTATAATACAATGAATAATTATGCCTTTTTTCCCCATTTTTTTTGGTTTGGATGCACGTATATATTTACACAACATGCGATGTATTGTGAAATATAATCAATATGCAACTAAATATAGCATGCGTTATGTATTTACAGGTTGCAGCATGCTATGTATTATGAAATATGCCTACAAATTATGAATACCGTAAAGTGTCGAGTGCTGATAACATTTTAATTACACTTATACCGGTACTTGCAAAATTCGGCCTGAAGCATTAATATTTTTTATCACGCCCTAGATGAGTTGTACTATCACTTGTATTGTTAAAAGTTGTTTAATTAAGTGCTCTGTTATGTTCATTCTAGGCGTTACATCGATAATTACACTTTAATTTTAGTCAATTCTCGGTTTATTGATGGCAGACAGACCATGCAGGTATACATCCATGGACAGATCTAAGCCTATAAGGTGATAAAGGCATACCCAACAGAGCACTAATATTCAAGGGCGATCCAGCTTTTTTTTTTTTTTTTTTTTTTTTTTTTTTTTTTTCTCTCTTTTTTTTTTGCACTACGACCAACCCCTACTTCGGTAGTTCTGATAGTAACATATATATCAATGACATGTTTGGAATTGATATTTAATATATATTATCGCCGCTTTTGCATCGGACTTGAACTTAGTTTTATTGAATCTCCACCCCATACAAACATGGACACACCACAATCGTCCGACGCCACGACGATGTCGTCGGACTGAAGATAGTAGTTGTACAAATCCAAACGAAAGTATAGTAATGTGATTGCCAGTTCCTAATATTGTGGTCTAAAAGTATAATTTGGGCAATTCTAAACCATAAAATCACTCTATATGAACTCCACCAGTGAATTTTGTACCCGAGGCCCCTATGGTTAAGGGTCCCGGTCCACTGAACCGCAGGTAGTTATGACATTCCTCCTGCTCAAAATATCAGTTGGCAATTGTAGAGTCTATCCTGGGTAGACAAGACATTTCAAGTTATTTGGGGTATTATATTTATACCTACCTGACCACGGTGGCCTGATATGAAAGCATTTTCAAAACATGGCATTTCTAGATGCCCAGTAGCAGCTGGCAACCTTCAAACAGCTCCCCCTATTTCAACCTCATGCAGGGGCAGATACAGGATTTAAAGTTAGTGGAAGTCTAATCAGGGTCGGCCAGACAAATTGGCCGAATAGTGAAATGTTTATATTTATACCTCTAAAAATTTTGAAAATCAGTCTGAAAAAATTAAAGATTGTCAAAAAAGTTGAAATGTATAGGCAATACACAAAAACAAGCAAATGATGGAGTTTTGTTTAAATATATATAACCATGGAGGAAAAAGGAAAATAAGAAAATAGGAAATATGAAGACGACGATGTTAGTGACAATGGCAATGACGATAGCAATGATGGTGATAATGATAATGACGGCGACGATGATGATACCAACGACGATGAGTTTGAGAATGAGGAAAAGATGTTGATAATGACAATGCTAGTGATGATAACATGTTTTATTAAACCAGCATTATTAATATATGCATATCCTTGTTGTCTTAATGAAGATACGGGCTTGGGTGTTGGCGGTTGGCTTTTCCTGTGCTTACGGAGTGTTGTTCAGCAAGATATATCGAGCACATTCAGTTTACACATCCAAACTCAATCCATGGATGCCGGTGAGTCTTTCTCATATAAATAGTATGTTGGAAAAATACAATCAATGATTATGAAAATATATACGAATGAATACTACTGTTCTACAATGGGCCCTAAATTCGTTGTAATCAAAATGTGGAACAACAGTCTGCAAATCAATAAAAACTGCACGTTTTTATGTGTCTCATTTGAAGACTATAGTTTATTTCAGGAAAAGCAGAAAACCAGCAGTCGCCGGAAGGACATAACTCGATGCTGTTTGCTCTATAGAGCAATTTAATATTTAAATTTAAGTTTTGATGGAATTTATGGGCAAGTCATAGATATTTGGCACAAAAACTTGAAAAAGATGACAGCAGACTCAATCCCATGACACGCATGGAGAGCTCTTATTGAATTTAATGTTTCCATTTCCATTTTCAATGTGCTTTGTAGAAGCGGTTGGTGCATCGATTGTGGCTTGGACACCCAACCATGAGGTCAGCGGTTCGAAAATTAGAATTCTCGCTGTGCAAGTCGCTTGTGTCCTTGGGCAAGGCACTTTACGTTTTTCTCTCTCTACCCAGGAATATGAATGAGCACCTGGTAGAATGTGTCATTGACTGTACTAGTTTCGTACGCTAAAAAAGTAGCGAACGACTAGGGATACTCCCCAGGGAGCAGAAAAAGTTAATTGTATGTTAATCCAGTGACCAGGGGTAATAACGCTCGCGCCTTTGATCATTAATTTGAAATTGGCGCCTTAAGAATGCAGCATTTTAATTGGCGTGTGAACAAATAGGCCTACAGTAAAGCCGGGCACCCACTGCGTCCTTCGGCCGATGAATCCAACTCCCTGTGACGATCAGTCTGAACGGACCATTATTAAAAATGATCCGTTGCACGTGCGTCGTGACGTTGCGTTCTCCATAGAATCGCGTCGGCCGCAGTGAGTGCGACACTAGTCCTATTAATTAGTATTACGTAACTTACTAATGTTGATTTTATTTTTTAAACCTATAGGGTTCACATTGTGGTCACATGATCAAAACTGTGTTGTTTTGTTTAGTGTTTGACGTCATCGTGTTGGTTGTGTGGATGGTTCGATTCCCGATGGAAGTTGTAATTGAAGAGACAGATTCTATTGTGAGTAACACTTCTGTGTTTGTGGCACCTTCTAATAATATTTTTTGTTAATATAGTGAATAATAATAAATTAATAATAACATTAATAATAGCATAATGATAATAATGATCATGATAATGATGGTGATAACGATGATGATGGTGATAATGACAACGCCGCCGATGATGACGACTGCGTGACGGCCGAAATGATAATGATGTGTATGTGTCAAATAACTGACGATATTTTTATCATTTCTATATTTTTTTCTAGCTCGATACGTATACTAACATAAGAACGATAAGTCAAGTAGAATTTTGTACAAAAGGAACTTCGTCGTACTTTGTTGCTGTTTTCTATGTCTTTAATGGACTTTTACTACTACTCGGTATGTAAACCTCCGTTTCATTTGCATTGGTAGATGGGGTTAAGACGATTTAAAAAGTATCTACTACCATTCTCCTCAGCATCATTATACCATAATACATTTAATCCTATTATCATCATCACTTATATATCATTATTATTTACTTTTGTTACGGTATCTTAGATTAATGGTAATGGTAATCGACATATAGCGCCTTACTTATTAAGAACCGTCTCTGGAGGAAAACAATTGTTTGAATATCTAAAAACGGGAGGGGGAGGAGAGGTGTGACCGCCCTTTTTACACATTTTTTCCAGTTTTTAAATATTAAAAAATCTGTTTCTCATTCACCGTTCCCTGGTTTTTCGTCAAACAACTTTTTCCTGTCTTCGAAAAATCAGTTCTACAACATATCAAACATTTGTTTGTTTCCTCCGGAGCCTGACTTTAAGGAAAATGACAAGGAAAATAAGGAAACTAACCCATGAAATATCCCAAAACAATCAGTCAATTAACCAGATAATCATATTAAAACGAACCAGTATCACTGCACCCTTCTCCAGCAATTTGAGACACGTGGCCAGCTAGCTGGAACAGTTATATTGTTAATGCTGCTATTAGTGTTGTTGTTTTATTATAATTATTAATTGTTAATATCATTATAAGCATATATGTGTGCTTCTTTAAAGGTTCCTTTTTATCATATGAAACACGTGATCTGAAAATTTTGAATTTGAACGACACTTTTTTGAACGGAATCGCGATCTACGTCATACTGACGCTGAGCATCGTCTGCGCATCCTTATCGTACATTTTGGAGCAGGAACCAGAACTTGCATACGTCATCATTGCCTCACTCACGTGGCTAGCAACAACTATGTCGGTCCTTTTGATGTTTGTTCCTAAGGTAATAATAGTGTTATAAAGTTTTTAGTTTTGTTACTATCTATTGGTTAAATGACTCGTGAGATGACGTGTTAATTAATCCTGAGTGCTTATTCACAATACCTTCAAAATAATTACAAATTTAAATTGATAAGCAACTTGTGTTTTACTTTGTCAGGTCATATCTCTCCGTGGTACCTTCGATATTCGGAATCTCTTTGAAACGAAATCAGACGAGCAAGTATTCGAAGAAGAGGCCGACACAGAGACGAAACTACGTTATAGAATCGCTGACGTAAGATTAAGAATAAAACGAATACTTTTCATGCGTATATTTCTATGATTTTAAAGATCACTACCATACACATCATTCATTAATTATTTATGGGTTTTTTTCAGGTGGACAGAACAATTGAAAAATTAAAAAAGCAGATCGCCAGAAACGTCAAGTTCGGTACTTATGCTTCGATGCCCGGTGCGTGTAGTGTGTGGTGTTGCGGACATCATGTAGGATGTACATTGGTCGCTGGTGGAGGCAGACGAGCCGACATTAGCGCCGATACTCACGTACTCAAAAACGCACGAGCAGGCCACGACAACAACGCGTATGTACCTGACGATGACATCGTTATCAGGTCTGAGGAGCAGACAGTTGACGAGACAGGGAAAGTCATTGGTCGTGTTCGGGTAGAGGAAGCCATTTTCACAAGTTCTATAGTAGGAGAAACGACAACAACGAATTTTACATGCGAAACTTTCGAAAATGGTGTCAATGAACACGATGATACAACACACCTTTAAACAGTAACAAGCGGCTACGCCGGCCAAGTCATATCAATGAATTGCCTGTTTATCAATGCCTACTTATCAAATATTATCCAAGTTTGATTAGGTCTATACTGAATATTACCAAAACAAAAAAAAAAAAAAAAAAAAAAAAAAAAAAAAAAAAAAAAAAAAAAAAAACACTACAAAATGCACTTACAGGAGAAACAGTTTTTATTACGTAGTAGGTGGGGCAGAGTATCGATTTTCTGACCATATATTTTATCATTGCGGTTAGCCTTAGCTTCTTATTTATTGAAGATGTTTCATTTACTTTGGATTAAACAATGTCCAATAACAATGATTAATGTCCAAGTTTAATTTTGCGTTATAATATTTTTGTAGTTAAATAATAAAAAGGGACATTTTTTTTAAAGAACCATAAACACTGTTCTTGTAATTCCTAAATAACGTTTCATGCAACATTTATAAAGACGTGTGTTTGAACTTTTCTGGAATAACCTAAACATACAAATCACGAATGTTCACCTGGAATGTTATCGTGTTGTGTTTTGCTGGGATATCTACTTTAAAGGGAAAAATTCAGCCCCAATTGTCTACATTGTCTTGGGACCTATCTGGGTATATAAATAAACAATATTACTCTACACAGGTGGTGCCAGCATGATGTAGGGAGGGCATCCACCCACCGTCGACTGGCCTGGACCAGTGGTGGGAGTTTTCACCTCGTCGGACAATGCCACGATGAGGTCTCGGATCAAATATTTAAAACAATATAATTTGCCATCCAAATAACGTTATTTGGATTGACACTCCCTAACATTGTGGTCTAAAAGCACAATTTGGACCATACTAAGGCGAGACTTTTTTTTTAATAAAATGTTTAGCGAACCCGACACCCGTTAATAATGATGATTTCGAATAAAAATAACATTTTATTGAGCGCACCCGCCGTCACGAAAAGATGGAAATTTCAGGGAAAAAAAAAAAAGTTTTTCTATATTTTTATTACACCCACCTCTGCCTTAAAATCTCCAAAAAATAAAATATTTACCAGTATATTTCATCCAAATTACACAAATTTAAAGCATTTAACCATATTACTACACTGTTTATTCACTAATACAATTATATTTTATTTTCTCGTCCGTCTGGGTGTTTTTAGCAAAAATATTTGCTAAATAAGGAAAACAAAATTTTATTTTTATTTTTCCGCTCACCTCTTACGATCTTTAAAAAAGTTTGCAAAACAAGGTATGAAAAAAGTCTCGTCTAAGCTATAAACACTCTGCCAGTGAACCCACCAGGGTTTATTTTATTTATTTTTTTTATTGCGAGATTCGGACCGAGGCTCTAGTAGACCCTTTGGTTCGAACCCCTTGTCGGACATGTCAGACCCCTTGTCGGAAACTTTCTGGAGCCACCGTTGATTTTTTCAGAATATTCAATGGTATAAATAATACATACCAAGCGCGGTCATAGTCCTTTTTAATAAATGTTTACAACCTATAATATGTGCACTTCTATATTAATGTCTATCCGTGTCACTGATATCGCTAACCTGCTTTATTATTTTATCAAAATTTATATTACAAACCATTAGTTGAATCTAATATTGAACTAAATCACAGAGGCTACAGAATAGAACACATTTTCAGCTAGGCCTATCACTCATAAAACTTTCAGTACTTTATACCTCCATGTTAAGAGTAATCTGTTAAATAGTATTTTTTAATGATTAATAATTTATATAATTTATTAGAATTTTATGATTTTGAAGAAAATTGTTTTTATTGTTTTGCCAAGTATTTTGTGTGATGACCACAATGTATCGTGTATTGAATCAATCAATCAATCAAAAATGTGTTTTACCTAACCTTTTATGCAATACACATGTACAGAGCTCAATAATTAGGATACGTATGTAAATTTATCCATTATGTTTTTTATTAAGTCACTTCAATCACCTCATCAACATCTTCTTTCTATTCTCCGAACTAAGCTAACATTAAGTAGCCTGTCGGTAACATATACTTTAACCTTTGCAGCCAGTAGGCGCTCTCTATGGAATTCACTCCATTACATCTCAAACAATATCAGACAACAGGCACGTTAAATAAAATATCAACATTTCTATTTAATAAGGAACATCATAACTTCAGTCATAAAGCGCATGAACTTAACTTAGACTTGTGCTACATATTATTTATAAAATTATTATTATCTTTGTAAGGCGTCATCCATTACTTTTATCGTGTATACACAATAGTACAAACCATACTCTTTCCTCTGTGACCCGTCCCTCTCCCTGCCTGAAAAGAGTACCGGTACACAATAAAATAATGATTTTTATAATTTTTGATCATCATTTTTTCTTTTTCATAAAAAAGTACATAATGACTACTTAACCCACATTAAAGCGTCAGGCCTACTCTTGAGAAAAGGATGGAAATTATGGGTGTTCACTTAGGGAAAATGTGACAGTGTCTGAAACGGAACGCAAAATGATTGAAAGAAGATGTTGGAGTAGAAAATAAAAATGATAGACATGAACTGTACTTTATTGGCCTACTCACAGGTTGGATGTGCTTGAGGGAGTTGGTTATTGATGTTATGTTCAGTATTATGTAACTGTATTGGTATGATTCTTGTTTTATCAATTCTGTATTTCCGAGCACTTAAAAGAAAAATGCAAAATAATTACCGTTTTTGTGTACAAAACGCACAAATTATTTCAACTACGGTCATAGAAATTTACAATTATAAGACAAGTTCGTAATAAAGACCAAAGTAAGTTGGCTTGTCATGTTCAACCTTTAAAACACAAGCTTTTATAAAATATAGATAAACAAACAACGTATATGTAGGCCTATACATACATGCACCTATATATACATATATACTGTATACGTATACCTGATGAAGGGCGATGCCCGAAAACGTTCGTGTACTCAATAAATTATATTTTGGCAATACTAGACACCTCTCCTGAAGTTTTTATTTTTATATATATGTTTGCCGATGCAGCTTTTAAGTTTTATATATATAATATGCATATATATATACACATACATACACATTTATATATAGGCCTATATAAATTAATTAATTAATTAATAAACTTTCTAGTCTTTTACCAAGTACGATTGATCAGTCTAGCGTAACCGGTTCCCTACAGACAGGCTACATAAATAAACTAAACGATTGCTTTAATCGTAAAATCAAAAAGCTCGACAACTTGATCGAAGAAAAACCTCTTCTATGCCGGCAACTCATCACTTTACAACAGATTTCCGAAACGTATCCAACCCAAGTACACACTAAGAATAAAGTATCACACCAAGAATAAATGTATTGTCAACTATTCACTTTCCTCTGACCAAGAATCAGTTCTATCGAAAGGCCTATCATTATGCCCTACCAACAAGTCTCATCCAGTCAATTTATGCGCTGATTTACATCAATTCACTCGCAGAGTTACCGAAAAAAGAAGCTACACACAGAATGGAATCCGCCAAAGGGAAGAAATGTTTTCATCGATTCGTTCGTTAATACTGCTAAAATGCATTTGGATCAGTTCATGAAAATTATATTAATTCTAAACCATCTCACCATTTGCCAGCAGCCCAACGCAGAGCCATCAGTGAACTCAAGTCTAACCCTGATATCGTTATCCGACAAGTTGACAAAGGAGGCTGCGTCGCCATCCTTAATATATCTGACTATATAGAGGAGGCTGAGTCTCAACTTGGTAACAAGGAATTTTATTAACTTCTCTCTGCTGATCCTACCATTATGTATAGAGACGATCTTAGTGTTGTTATTAATGAATTAGAACATTATAGTCACTCTGATATTGTTAATCTTATCCCATCTGATCCCAAGCCTGCTTGTTTTATACCCCCCCCCCCGAAAAATCACAAACTGCCTAAAAAACTTATTGATTGTAAATTAAAATCACTGTCCAATACGAACTACAATGATGTCAGCGCTCTTAAGCCTATTGAAATATTTAATTTATCTAAACAGTTAATATCATTCCCCATGGTAGACCAAACGTTTCCTGCACTGGTACCCTTATAGTGAAAATCTGTCTAGCCTTGTCGAATCCATTATTAACCACTTACCCTAGTATCCCTAGCTACATCCAAGACACTACGCATTTCCTAAAATCCTTGACAATATAACTAAAATCCCTAACAAATCTATCTTAGTCACTATGGACGTAACGTCGCTCTATACTAACATCCCTCATGAAGAAGGTATTCAAGCACTTAATAATTTCCTTCTAAACAATGTTTCCCAGCCGAACATATTAATGATATCATTGCCATTACTAATTTCATTCTTAAGCATAACCATTTCACTTTTAACAACACAATCACATCCTCCTTATACACTAAACTACTGATAACCATGAATTTCTCCCACCCATTTAGCCTTAAAAAATCTATTGTCTTTAGTCAGTGTCTACGAATTAAACGAATTTTCATCTTCGAATGATTATGGCAAACAAATTGGCATACTTATTATTATTATACTTATTGGCAATTTCATGTGCACCTCTGACATTCACTAATCCTAGTCCTAATATCACTATTAGACCCCCTCCACTTACTTGTGATTCTTCTAACGTTATTTACATTTTATTTTGTAACAAAGG